GGGGCAGGTGGGGTCACTGCTGAGGCAGGGGGACCCTGGGAGTGGCAGGTGTCTGGGGAGCAGGAAGCTGTTGGGACTCAACAGGGGGCATCAGACGGGATGGGCTGTTGGTGGGGTAGATACACCAATGGGGGGTATTGGGGTGTTGCAATAGTCAGACCCTGTTGGGGGCAGGGTGGGTGATGTGGGCCATGGGGAGCCAGTGTCAAGAGGGGTATTGTGGCAGATGTACCTGGAGCTTGGGGGCCAGCCTGTTTGGGGAGGGGGTATTGAGGTTGGCAGTCTCAGGAGGGAATATTGGAGAGTGGGGGGTCACTGGAGGGGTGGGGGGCAGATGGACCTGGGGATACATGGGGTCTATTGGAGATCAGTATCAGGGCAGACTGGAGGAGGTATCAATTTGGGATGCATATCCTGGACAGATTGTGGGGTATTCAGGGCATGGGGGGGTATATTGGGAGGTATCTGGCGCTGCTAACCCCTTCTCAACACTATCTGTTCTCTCCACAGCCCCCCACCATGGGTAACGTCCTGGCTGCCAGCTCTCCCACACCCTCCCCCACCATGCCGAGTCCTGGATCTGGGCTGGTGTCAGTGCCGCCTGGCTTCACCATGCCCCCCGTCAGCGGGCTGGGCCCCCCTGCGCAGGAGCGGCCGGAGGAGAAGGGGGATCGGCTGCCCAACCCTGGCACCTTTGAGGAATGTCACCGCAAGTGCAAAGGTGAAAGCCTGGAACCCACTGTCTACACACACGCACACCCACCTCCGTCCTGGCACCTTCAAGGAATGTTACCCCAAGTGCAGAGGTTGGGAGCACAGCATGGGGGACCCCAGTACACAGCCAGGTGGGCAGGTCCCTGGGGGAGCGGGGAGGGTACCAGGCTGGACAGCCCAGAGGTCTGATTGGGGGAAAGGAGTTACCAGCAGGCTGGAGGGATCCATGGGGTGACGGATGCTGGGCTGGACGGGCTCAGTGCTGATTGTTGCAGTCTCTTCCCCAGAATTGTTCCCCATCCAGATGGAAGGTGTGAAACTGACAGTGAATAAAGGTCTTAGCAACCATTTCCAGGTAAGGGCTGTGCCCTCTGGTGAGGCAGGGTACGGGGTGGGGGTGGAGGGGGGTGAGGCTATAGCCCAGGAGGATGGGGGGTCTGAGTGGGCTGGGCAGAGACATGCCTGCTGGGAGGGCGGGGGTGCAGATTGAGGGCAGCTGGCTTCAGCAATGTTACTGAGCATTCTCTACAAGCCAAGCAGTAAATGTGGGGGTACGTGACCCCAAACCTCCTGATCCCATGTATCGCGTCTGGGGCTGGGTGAGGTTGTGGGTTGGTGCTTTCTGTGTGAGGTACTTATCTGGCGCCCTTCATCCCTGTATCTGACCCCTTGCAGTCTAATGCATTCATCCCCATGCTTCCTGGGAGGCAGGCAAGGTGACTGTCCGCATGTGAGATGGGAGCCAAGGCCCAGAAAGATGCAGTCACTTTAGGTACCTGAACCCGGGTCTCCCATGCCAGTGCCCCTGGGCTGCCCTTCCCCTCTGGCTGCAGGCATAGAACCATGGGGCTAGAAGGGACCGCAAGGGTGGTCTAGTGCAGGGGTTCTCAACCTTTTTCTTTCTGAGGCCCCCCAACAGGCTGTAAAAATTCCATGGCCCATCTATGCCACAACAACTGTTTTTTTTCTGCATATAAAAGCCAGGGCCAGTGTTGGGGGTAGCAAGCAGGGCAATTGTCCTGGGTCCCATGCCACGGGGGGCCCCGTGAAGCTAATTTGCTCGGGCTTCAGCTTTCTGTCCTGGGCCCCCACAAGTCTAATGCTGGCCCTGCTTGGCGGACACCCTGAAACCTGCTCACGGTCCCCCAGTGGATCCCAGACCCCTGGTTGAGAACCACTAGTCTAGTGTAACCCCTGCCAAGACACAGGATTTGGTGGGCCCTGCTTACTCTGCCTGCTTTCCCCAGGTGAGTCACAGCGTCACCCTCAGCACTGTTGGTGACTCCAACTATCACTTCGGGGTCACCTACGTGGGCACCAAGCAGCTCAGCCCCACAGAGGTGAGTGCGGGGGGGGGAGTGGACTTAGCTGGCCGGAAGCCAGCACTGAGGAGCCACCTCTGATGGTGGGAGAGGGGCAGTGTGTGTTTGGGGGGAGAGTTGTTAATCTGGACATTGGGGTTGGGGCTGTCAATTCAGACAGTGGGGAAGTTTGGGGCGAGGCAGGCTGCTCTGGGTGGGGGTGGGGCAGAGGGATGCTGTTGCCCTGATATGGGGTGGGGTTGTTGTTCAACTATATTTCACCCCCTCGTGCCCCTTCTAGGCCTTCCCGGTGCTGGTGGGCGACATGGACAACAGTGGCAGCCTCAATGCCCAGATCATCCACCAGCTCTCGACCCGGCTGCGCTCCAAGGTGGCCTTCCAGGTATGCTGCACACCGCGGGTCCTTCTCTCAGCCCTCCCCTTCATGGCTGTGTGTGTGTCAGAGCATCTGTGCCTCCCCCCCCCCCCCCAAATACACACCCACACCCCTCGGGTCCTTCTCTCAGCTCGCCCGTGTGTCAGAGCGTCTGTGTATTCTCTTCTCCCCCCCCCCCCCCCC